TAAGTATGAAACACTGAGTTGGATCAGTGATGTACATGAAACAGGTTTCATTGGGTTATATCAGTGATGAGGATGAAATGTGATGGAGATGCAACGTGATGTAAGTAAAACATGATATAGGTGAAACATGATAGATATGAAACACTGATGTAGGTGAAACACATCAGGTGATGGGATCAGTCATACGGTTACAGGGTTAACGACGAATAGCTAGGAAAAGAAAAAGAACCCCCCTCTCACGTTGTAACAGTCGCTGTAGACTACAAACTCCTGGGGATCGCTGCTATACCCTTCTGATGCGGTAATATACTCGCTGACATTGGCTAGTAGTTGTAGATTGGGGGCGTGATCAAGGCTACCATTGTTAGAGATGTCAGAGGCGAGGGGCGGCATACTGTGAGAGTCAGTGGATGCGGCAGGGGGACTGTCAGGGTTTGGGGACGACAAGGTATTTCTAGGCGTCAAGGATGGAAATACCTGTGCAGGCACAACATGGTAAGATCCAATGGACGCTTCCGAGGTGGGAGGGATTTCCAGGGGTCCAGGAAACTGGTTCAAGACTACAGCGTTGCTATTAGAAGAGTCCGGGGGTCCTGGGATGAGAAAGGGACGGCGGGTGACGTTCGACAGAAGAGGTGCAAACGGATAATGGAAACCTCCTTCATCAAGGAATTCTAGTGAAGAGTCATCAGATTCCTGCTGGGAAGGAAAACTCAGAATGGGTCGCCTAGGGACCAGCATTTCTATTATCCCTGCCATGAAACGCTCTTCTAATGTCTGGAGGTGGGAAGGGTAAGGGGTTGGCACTCTTTGGGGACCAGTCATTGGAGAATTGTTGCGCCTAGGAGCCAGAGGGCGACGGCGTGGGTCCAGGTTAGAAGTTTCATTGTTGTTTCTTGTACGGTTATTGCGCTCAGCAGGCATGAGGGAAAGCAAAAAAGAGATTTTTCTTGAAAAAACCAGGCCCAGAATACAAAAGACACCAAGTACTACAGACAAAACAAAACCCCAGACCCTAATCCTGATGTTCTCTTATGTACTCAAAGTACACTTGAGTTGGGTTGTTGCTGTTGCGGTTGGCAGCAATGACGGGAAGTGTGGTGGTGGTATGGGGGAGGGGGCACTGGGCAGTGGTGGCGATGTTGTAGGCCCACTGGTGTTCGCACTCGAGGTGTCGGATTGTGAGCCGAAGGGTTAGGGGGACAATGAGGGCAAGGGCAAGGATGGATAGGAGGGTGGTTAGGAAGAAGCCCAGAAGGGCTAGGAGTAGGAGGTGGGGGTGCTCGTCAATGACAGCAAGGGTGACGGCAGCGAAGGAGGTGACTTGGTTCACCACTGAGGAGATCAGTAAAGGGAGTGGGTGTAAGCTCAACAGGGGACGTTACTTGTGTTCTGTTGTTGGCCCAGTTGAGGGCTTGTTCATCGATGGGGGTGGTGGAGAGAGGAGTGGGGGTGCGTTCAAGGTGGACCTTGAAGGTGTAGCTGTCCTGGAGGAAGAAGATTGCGAAGGCGAGGATGAGGATGAGGAGGTCGGTAAATGTCCAGCTGACGAGGAGGAGGGTGGTGAGGATGGTGATGGATGCCATTGGGGAAGGCTGAGGCGAGTAGTTCTTATAAGGAATTACCCCTTGTTTGGCTGTAGGAAGTCTGCCAAAGCATCTTTGGCATGTGAAAGTTCGGCCTTTGGCAGCCAGGAGTCGTCCGAGGCCGGGTATCCTTTCCATCTTACCCGGTATAGTGTTTGCTTGCCAACCGTCTTTGAATCAATGATACATTTTATTTCAAACTCCTCCTGGTTCTTGATTAGTTCTGGTGGAGGTCGGAGATAATTCTTCCCATGCATTGTTGTTTCCGAATAAGGATAGACTAATCCTGTGTGGAACACAGGGTGAATCTTCCATTTGGGCGGTAACTTCAACCAGTAGACTACCGATGATAGTTTCTGGTCAATGGTGAAGGGTCCATAGTGCTTTGGTCCAAGTTTGGCTTTTGGGTGGAGACCTCTGAGATTGGTTGCTTCCAGCCATACCTTCTGTCCAGGTGAATATTTGACA